CAGCATAAACAACAAAATTCGGAATTTCAACATCACTGTTAAGTCAGCCAATCAGTTGTTCAGTTCTTCTATATGTGTGAGAAACTTTCACTGAGCATCACGAAAAGCATTTCCAACAGACTAACTCAAACTTTTACCAACAGCTAACTTTACTGGCTTCATACGGAAGATCAGGTGGCCAGTGGAAAGAATTAGCAACAACAAGCTATGGGTACGAATCTATCCTCAAAGCAACAAATATTTCAAAGAAAATGGAGATCGATAGGACACATGTCGAGGATGCCATTAGGTGACATCGTGCGCCAGTTCATAGTTCGAGTGGCACTTAAATGAGAAATGACGAGTTAGGTGTGCGTCCTAGGGTAACATGGCGGCGATCGTGAGTGGAGAAGATAAAAGACTATGGACAGTCGTGAGGCCAACTAAAGAGGACTGCAGCAGAAAAGACAAAATGGAGATGTACAGCTGAAGCCCTATTTTCTACACAGAACCCAAGGAAATAATAAAAAAGTAATAGACACAACTCTAGCCGACTGTCGGCTACGATTGTTTGTCTAGGAAGGTGATGGATCAACATGCGCAACACATGTGTCGTAGTTATCTCAATCGATGAAGCTTCACAACCTAATCGGTTGATTTGCAGTTTACGCCTTACCTCTCTATTACCTCACTTAACATGGTAGGTAGAATGCAGATATCCGAATCCAAAGAAAGCTAGGCTTTTCATATTTTCTGCTTTCAATAACCACGTCTCACACTCATAAAGAAGGATGGATATTACTGGCAAAAATGGAAATACATTCTATTAGATATGATACATTTTACGAAGATGGTAGGATAGTGGTCACACACACTGGTCATTTAGTCTCACAGAAATAAATGACGAACTATAGCAGTGAGGTATGCTAGTAAAAATGAACATTCTGAATTATTAGTCGCTTGGAGGCAATCGGCAGAAAGTCTTGGACTTACGTTTCGTAGTTGTTGCCAGTCGTCAAGAAGGTGTATCTGTAATCTTGAGGGAACTTATATGTCATATGAGATTCGACCCCGCATCAATCATTGCTACAATCAGAGATGTGGCCACTGAGCTATACAGGATCGCCACTAACCTCCTCCTGCAGAACTTCAGTGGATACTTTGATTGGAGAGACTAGGCAGTAACTAACGTCATTTGCGTCTAGTCCTTGGTGTCGATGTGGACTGAATTCTACCAGTCTTGTCTGCAAGCAGCTAACGACAACTCAGAGTGCACCGTGATGGAGAGCCCCCCCTAGCATGGTAGCCGCATTGTAAACATGACTGCTAGAATTCAGTCTGCATTAAACGAAGGACTACACTAATAGCATTGGTTACTCACTACCCAGTATCCAATCAGAAGCTGAAGACTTAGTTCACTGGTTTAAACATTCGAATTTCAAGCGGTAGATTTCAAGTTGGGATACCGACCCCCCCCCCAACTTACTTCAGCCTAGGCAGTTTGGTAGTACAAACAGAAACAACACAATAAATGTGGCTCATAACCTGGAATATGAAAAGCGGGTTAGGAGGTCTGAGATCATGTCAATAGAAAAAACCGATATGCATTATAAGCAGATTACTGTAAAACATCTCTACAGAACTATGTACTTGTAAATATAAAGAAAAGGCTGCCGTTAAAAATTTATACAGATGTTTTCTATTTTGGTTAGTGAGTGATTTTCACCACTAATGTCTGTTTTCAAGTGTTGATTTACATGAATTCGATTGTTTACAAGATCTGATCATGCATGAGCTGACATCGTTTAGAGAACCATCTGAAAACCAGATGGGAGTACTGCCAGACAGATGTTTTGTCCGACTGGTTCGGGACACCTTGTCAACACGCACTCACCAGGGTTTGTTAAGCCTTTGGATCGGATCCTACCCCAGTGACTTATTGGTCTACGAGCTCGCTCAACTTGCAACTGCAAGGTACTCGGTTCGAACCCCAGTGCTAGTGCGTATTGCGCATCGATGTCAACTCATGATGAAACCCTGTAACTGTTTGCTTTGCTTCGTACACAGTGAATTTAATAAGAGAGCAAGAAAATAAATAGAATAGAGCGCATATATATCAAGGCTGTGATGAATGCATAACTAAATAATTGCCAACTCTATACTTGGATTGTATAAACTGCGACTGTTACGTGAAATAACTTTAACAACACCAACAACAACAACAAACAATTTCATTATTTGTACAAAATTTAATCAAGTAACGATGAAGTTGGCTGACAGAAAAATAAACACAAAAAAGCCAACTAACTAACTAACTAACCAACTAATTAGAATTTCTTTTACACATTTCTCTTTCAAGTGCTTTTAATTATATCAGCAAAAAAGAAGAGGGGGGAAATTAATAGAGGCTACAAATAGGCTACTTTTTTCACTCCTGAAGAAACACTTCACTGCCTACGCACACGCACACACACACACATAAACACACAATCATTGAGTAAAATTCAGCATCAGCAGGAAATAGTAATTCCAGTAAAGAAGTAGGATGGACGATCAATTCTCAAGTAACTTTTAAGAGAACTCTGGAATTGTTGCTTTAGACACACTTTAATCAAATATTATTTATTGAGATAAGGCTCAAGATAAGTTGCGAATAACACTGTGTATGGGTGTATGCGTTAGACCGTTTATAATATATATAAGAGAAGAGGTTCACTAAATACCAGACGACATTAGTATGGGGTTTTTCTTCTAAAAAACACAAACTAGTCTTGAATAGAAGGAAAACTGAAAGCCCAGGGAAATCACAAGTGTGATAATTATAATACCAATTACAATAACGCGTTTAAATTGATAATTTACCAACTGTAAAGTAAGTTGCAACCTAGATAACAATTGGATTGAAGGGGAGAAACCAATATTTGGATACTAAGTGCCAAGTGACTAAAAACACCTATTAGTTTCAAGTTTGACCACGGAATAATATCACTTAGAGAACCAGTGAAAATAACAAGGAGTCCCGGATAGCTGTTTCCGTTGTCCTAGTTAGGGACTCACTGATAGTACGCATCAACCTGCAGGGTTCGAACCCACGGGCCTTCCGGTCACAAGGCAAGCTTGTATATCATCCAGCCACTCAGACTCAATTCAACGACCAGTCCATGAATTCTAACATCTAATAATTCGTTATGATTTTAGCGCTACTGGCACCAGCCAATGTCATCGGATGAATGGCCCCCACTGGTCACGACTTCTCACTAGAACTCCCTCCAGGTAAACCTCGCCTTATAGCCAGTCACTAGCAAGCATCACATTGATTTTCAAGTGTTAGTTTGTAGGGATTTCATTTATTCCAAGTTTGACCACAGATCGAGTCATTGGGAACCAGGGAGTACCGGATACCGATTTCCAGGCGGCAAAACTAGTGCAATTAACAAGTGATTCTATTTTTCGTTAATGTCGACTGGCAGTGAAATCTAGGATGCGCACGTCAGCTGGATGAACGTACATGCAGCTCCAGTAAGTTGATGGTGTTCCCACTGACACTCGAACCCAATGCCTATGATTTCAGACGTCGAAGGCGTTATCCACTAGACCACTGGTTCACAAGAGCTACTTCTTGTGCAACAGTTATCAGGTATCATTTGTTGATTGAATACGTTGGGCCGAAATGCCAGCTATCTGTTGACATGCTGTCTCCTAGTGTGGTGAGAGCTGGCTGCTAGCCAAAGTTGGTAGACAGTAATTGACGTCAATGTTTATGTCCCCAATATTGGTGGTGAGAAAATGATAAAAAAGACTTTGCGTAGGCGGATACAGTTAGCATATGGATGATCTGACACAGCCACAAAGAGATGCAAGGTTAACTTTCTGTGAGAAACAACCAATCAAAAGACTGTATTTTCTACTAACAATAATCTACAATAATGTACATTAAAATCTCTAAATATGTGTTGATTTTCCTGAATAAACTATCTGTTGCCTGACCCTTGTCTTCTGTTGCTACAATAGTACTGATACTTTGATAATATCAAACACAATCAATGAAAGGGGATTGAAAATTAACCTAATAACAATCGACTTATCTTCTCACATCTCAACTTTCTAATCATGCAGTGAACATAATCCCAAAAATAGATGTCACTAATCATTATAAAGAAACTCTATACAAGTTAAGGGGCTGGGGTGGGGAAGCATATTCACATAGGTTTCATTTGTCATTCGGAAGTTATACAGTACGCATAACAATAATAAGGGTTCTGGAAACTATCAGACACACTAAAGAACAACACCTATTTGGTCGTTTCTACTGTTGCTCAAAATGGAACTATAAGATCTTTGACTAAGTCAACTAATAAGAATATAATGAAATGAATGCCAACGGTAAGATTTATTTAGGTTCGTGGAATATTGTGACGTAGATTATTGATAGTCCACAATGCGGCCGGTGAGTCATCCGTCATAGACGCCAAATTAACAACTGCTTTATAATGTCGAATGCTAAGTGGAGATGGATATAGGTTAGAAGTATCAACGCCCAGGATATTCGAAATCCATCAACAACAGAAAGCACGACCATAGTGATACAGTTCTGTGTATTTCCTATTAGCTTTAAAAGTCCCCACTGCCTTGCCTATCAGTCGTGTCAGTGGTAGAGAATACCCGCCAACTATGTACGTGGTCCGATCCCCGGCCACCGCCCTCTTAAACCGCGCTTAGCCGGGGAAGTGAGGGGGGGGGGGTATAAAACCGGTAAAGACAGAAGGTTGAACGTGAGGCTAGTAATACCATCCCGTAAAAAATAGACACCACAGCTAATGAAACTTCAGAGGAGTTTACGCTTAAAGCCCTATGTTCCACTGATGACGCAAAGGAGTATGTTAAAAGATGTCTACTGAACAGTATTTTAAAATAACGGCTTTGAAGTAACTTGATCCCTATAACAGTAATTCATTCAATGGCTTGAAAAAAATATCATTTTATCATTCATTTTCACACCAAAATAACCGATTACTACTCACCGACAGAGTTCATAAAACATTTCATTGCGTGATAATTGATTGTATTTCATTTGTCTCAGCATTCCAATCAATGAATCTGATGGCGCTTCTTGATCATAATCTTCAAATCTCGTATCTTTGCCTGTAGTCCATCTGTAGAGTGAACTGTAAATAATAATTCCAAGAGATAACATTATGCATTTTACATCAGAGCGAATACAGTTGAAATTTATATCACAGAACAAAAAAACAGACATAGTGAACTGCATTCAATCAGAAAAATCATATTTCAGTGCATTTTTTTAACATGGCTTGTTGAGAGTGACACCACCTTAGGGTTACTTCATTTGCATATTCAAACACACGTAAAGAATAGGATCGACAGTTGCTACTTTGATTTGCACATCACGATTACACATCAAAATGCAATACATATCAAAATGTCATTATTGGTTGCTTTATTCCCAAACGGTACTTATGATACTGTCTGGAAAGTTTTCATCATTTGTTACAATATTGCATGTAATTTACTCGACAACAGCAAAAAAAATATTTGAAAAATGGTATTACAGGATTGATAATGGCAATTTTGTTTTGGTATTTGCAGTGACAAGAAAGTAAAAATTATACAAAAAGTGTAAAACAATGATAATGTTGATAGCTAAAAATTATAAGTTAGTTGAAATAGTATGACCATAGATTAAAAACAGGAAAGATCACAAGAGTTGACTATTTTGCTGATAAAATAGTAAGGTGTAGGCTGCACCCTTAATATTGCCTTTACCACAGGACGCTAGCAGGCCAAATAGGGTATCTTTGAGTTTCTGTACTTGGTTGTACAGGCAAGCATATAATATTTTATAATAACTTATAGTTCTACCTGATGATGAGATGCAAGAGTAGAGAGGTGAGAATAGAGGGAGTGTTGAGGGTCGGACAATACGGATTTCGACCATTTCTCATATGAGTTTAGGTGTCTGTCAACTACTGTAGTAACATGCTGACTAAACGATGGCACACAACTTACCCCTACTGACAATCTGTAATACCCTGCGCCCTTTTTGATTAAGGTGAGGTGGGGGAGCAATAAAGAAGAATATTTAAGATAGCGGAGTTAACAAATTGTAAAAGTAGAGGTTATCTTAACTTTTTTAATGTTGTAGGTTAAATGGGACATTTTCTTAGAAATTGAGACAATGTGGGATGACAAAGAAACGTCAGAAGGAAGAAAACTATTCCAAGGTATTTTACGCTTGACTTAGTTTTTATTTCACTGCCCTCTATTTCCCAAGCATCTTGTGAACGGACCAGTTCTTGTAAATCACGTCTTTGTTTAAAGGTGAAGTTGATAGGCTGACATTTAGAGGCACTTAATGTAAGACCATTTAGTTTAGACCACTGACTGTTGTTCAGCAAAATCTATTAAGTTTGGAACAGTCAGACTGGGGCGTAATTGGCAATGAGACAGTCAGATCATCGGAGTATTTAACGAAGCTGGTATCTACCGAAAGAGGCAAGTCATGTAAGAAGAAAGAAAGAACAAAAGGAGGGAGAACATCTTGTGGGACTCCAGCTTCAGTCAGTAAGCAAGGGAGATGAAGATTTCCCTTTATATATATATATATATATAATACTGCATTCTCTTAGAGAAATAAGAATGTAACCGGTTAACAGCCCAGGACTCAGCTTATGTCACGGAAAGCTTATTTAACTTATTATAAGTGTAAATATTTACAGTCCAAAGCTGTTAATGTTCTAACGATTTCGACACCTTCCGAGGTGTTCTCCGTAATATCGAACCCCAGTGGGCGCGTACCGCCCATGACTCTCAAACTAGGACAACAGAAACAGCTGCCCAGTACTCCCTAGTCGGTTTTCAATGGTCCTCTAACTGATATCAATTCGTGGTCAAGCGAAGTGAATGAAGTGAAAATACATTTTGCTTGGGGTATTAATAATATAATATATTTTAAAAAATTACTGTGACACGAATATCTGACGAAATGAAAATGAATTGTCAACCATCTTAGTTAAATATTAGAAGGGTACTGAAAACTTTTACTTACCGTACAACTTCAACTTCATTATTTATCCCAGTTGTAAGGTCAGAAATGAGCTCGGAGAAGGTTGTATGAATACGATTAGTAGCCTGAAATTGTAATACAGCCATATATAGTAAGGTGCAATTAGTTAGTTAGTTGGTTAGCTAAGCTAGCCGACAATTTAAAAGCAGCTTCAATCACATCAGTTCTTGATAATCTATCCAAATGACAACACTGAGTCAGTAATTCAATGTCAGTATGTTCGCCAACCCCATGCATGCATATGGTTCTGAGTTCAATTTTCGACCGACAACTCACTTCCAAACATATCGGCCTAGTTTACCAGGCCGCAAAAGTGGGCAGCTTAGTAGGCATAAATAAGGGCTACTACTGAGACGTGAAGTTCACTTATTCCACATTCGGAACTCTAAGAACGAAAACAAAATTACAAGATACATGGAAAATCCCAATATTTGGGCATAACAACCTTAGAATAGTCCACTTCGGTCTTTACTTTTTTGCATTCAACAGCAATCAGTTAATTGGGTTTGGTTTGTTTATCATAAATGCACTTCCGAAAGTTTCACGGAAACAGTGAAATCCAAATTATGCTTTTAATTGGACACTAAGAAGTGTTGCGTGTCTAGTCCTTTGATTTCGCAATACAGACTGTATTCTATTAGTCAGGTTTGCAATGAGACCAGAATGTTAGCTAGGTGCACTCTGAATTGTTGTTGGGGACAATCAGTAGGAAACCTTGGACCTAGGTTTCGTGTTATTTGGCATTCACCAGTCATCAAGGCGTCTCAGCAACCTTGGAAGAACTCATATCTCTTCTGAGATTCGAACCAGCGGCACGAAACCTAGGTGTTCAAGGCATCCTATTGATTGCCACTAACCACCTAATAACAACAATTCTGATAGCACAGTGACGGCGAGCCAACTAGTATGCTGAACACATTGCAAACTTGACTGAAAAAACTCAGTCTGCAACGAAATGAAAGGACTAGGAGGATGACACTGCTTAGTATCCAATCAGATTATCCATTACAGTCCTACAGGAGGTTAATTGTGAACCCGAATAGGTCAGGGGTAACGTCATTGGCTGCACCACTGGGTGACACGGATTCGAATCTCAGAAGGGACATGAGTTCCTTCACGATTTCAAGTAAGCCCTACTGACTGATGAGTAGCAATAAGTACAAAACCTAGGTCAGGTAGGGCTTCCTGCTGATTGCCTCTAACCATCTTATAATCCAGGTTATTCACATCAGGAATTTAAAGATAATAAGAGAGATGTCAGGAATTTTACTATGACTGAGAGAGTGTAAAGAAATATGAACCACCGTTAACTAACTACTCTCAACGATACAGAAATAGAGTGAAACACCGTATTGATCATTTTTAAGGACAGTATGGAATGCATAAGCTTACTTGGATTAAACTCAGATGAAATCTCAGCTAACATTACCCATGGCACCCAAAAAGGTGCTCGCTAAAGTGTACTGTGAAACTATGTGGTATCCCACTTTACTGACCGTGAAATATAGCTATTAGACGACATTGAAGGCACATGGATACAACCACAAGCGTTTTAGTAGCACTAGTTGTAATTTCACCAAAACAATGTACGCAAGCATCAAAATGTCCACGCAAAATAAAATTATGCTCTTGGTCGCTACCTGACGAACGCCGGTCCCATGTTCATGTCAATTTTGCTGGACCACCTAATGGTATGCACTTCTTTATACGTGTGTGGATGCATTTCCCAAATGACCAGAGATGTGTCATATGCGAGATCCCTCAGAGAGACCGGAAAACAAGAAGAAAAAAAACTCCACGTTAGATACATTTAATCTTCCACAGCCAGAAACTCCGGACACAGACAAGACCCTATCCAATATCACTACTCGAAGGTCAGTTCGATAAAGAAAGAGACAAAAGCCTTTCCAAATAGATCCAAGGACAAATTCCTACAATTCTTACTGGGAGAGGTGATGCGAAGTGGCTAAAACAGCAGTCAATACATTAAACCGGTGACTATAGAATTCACCTTGCTATCGGATAACTGTAAAATTTCACTATCTTTTCCTTAACTCGGTCTTAAGCCAATAGCCAAGCAGTCAGAATATTTATTTCCCATGGACCTAGCCGAATCGCCTGTAAATCCATTGCCCTGGGGAAAATTTTAATGTGGTTACAAATATATAAATATGATGTTCTGGGTTAGATTTTCGACTCACTTCCAAACACATCGGCCTAGTTTACAAGCCCGCAAAAACGGGTAGCTCATGTTTTGTTACTTCTACTTTGTGTGTGTGTGTATAAGACCACTTCCCCTTATATTTTTCTATGTAAATGGATCCAACCAGCTTAGTTAACTAAGAAAAAGTTGTTTCTTTCTATGTCATTGGAAAACTTCCCATTGATATTGAGAGAAGGAACAGTAAAAAAAATAGAGATAGTGGCATATCTAAAGAGATTTTTTTACTACACATAATTCTACTTTGAAAAAAATGTGAGGAAACTTTTTGTTTATGCTAGGGTTGTGTTTATAGCAAAGAAAATAAGTGAACTTTAACATTCAATAGATGAAAGGACTTCGTGTTTTGAGCTAAGGTCCCCATAAACGACCTGTTACGACCGAGGGAGGGTAGACTTCGATCTTCCTCTCGAAATACCCTCTTGCTGTCGAGCGTTCATATAGCATCTACGACGTAAGTCCAGTTGACTGCCTTCCCTGTCGAGCATGCTCCTTACCAAAGAGAAAGGGTGAATGAAAACGTCTCGTGCTTACAACTGGACTGGTGGGCATGTAGGGGAGCCGGAAGACCCTGATTCCAAACCCATGCTTTACATGGGCTCAAGAATCCGAGCAGTCAGCAGAAACCAAAGCAACGCAGCTCCACTGCCTTTTGGATCAGACTTCAAGTCAATTACTCGGGAAGTGGTCTCTTAAGACAACCGCTTGCTTCGGTCTGGATGTCGCAGCAGCATCACAGCCCTCACACAAACCGCTTGGTGCTCATAATACACAATGTCAAACTGACAGATTTGTTTACAAAAAGACAGCATAAATCCAACCAAAGAGATAGCTTACCTCAAGAGCATGCGTATCTACAATATGAATTCTCTGATCGCATGGTAAAATTGTTGTTTTAAGTAAAACCGGAGGAACAGGTGGGGGTGGAGGAGGTAATATAGGAGGTTTTCTTTCAATATATCCATCAGAAGGCCACTTTATAAAACGAACAGTATTTGTTGATGAATTTAACGAAGAAATACTTTTTCCCTGAAATGGTGATAATTTATAAGAACGATCAAGTGTAGACCAGTTGTGTGCAGCAGGAACCCATGATCGATCGTAGGATGTGAAATTCCAAGGATTCGAAAGTACACTACCACAACTACCACGCCTATTTCTATGTGTACCAAAACCTGGCATATATGATGTTCTTAGGTCGGAAAGTGAAGCCGCGAGGTGTAACAAAGAAGAAGTTGAGTTGTTTTGAAAGTTCTGAGGTGTAATCGAATGCTAGAATGCGTGAAGATAAACAGAAAAAGAGAGAATAGCTTCTCATTTAGTATTTAGGAGAAAAAAAGTGCTTGTCATCAAAATCACGATAAAATAAATATTCATTCAAATGAACTCTTACTGAATTAATAGAATATCATCATGGAATCCTGCATAAGGGTGCATGGACTAAGGCTTTTACAGTTCAAATGAGGACACAAACAACGAGAAAAGATGCAGAAGGTGTACTGGAATTGGCATACACACGATAATGCTGCATTATTCACTTAATCTATCGTAAAACAATACTGAGGTGTCAGTGGTTCAATGGTGTAATGCTTACTAGCTATTCTCTCCTACCAAATGTAGGATCATGTTACAGGACTGAAATACACCGACTCCCAGTATAGGCATAGGGAGTGAAGTGTATAAGCGTCCTTACCACTTCACCAATGGACTGATTGCTGACAAAACCTCAGTCCGGATACAAAAGGCTCGTATAGCATTTGTTAACTCACGTCATCTTTGACGTAGATGTGATAGCAGGTTATCGACCAAAGAAAGCGTGTACTCCGTAGACTTCCTCTCTATCCTTTATAATAGCTGTCGAATGGCCAATGAAAGTGGAAGATAGGAAAAGGTTGGGTGTCTTTAACCGTAGGTATCTGCGCTCTATCTCCCATGTTAGGTGGCACAATAGGGTGAGTAATATTGAGGTTAGTTGACGAGTGTTAGGTAACGAGGGAAATTCAATCGATAAGGTTGTGAAGCCGCATCAATTGAGATGGCTAAGACACGTGTTGCACATGCCTACCAATCACCTTCCTCGACAGGCAATGCTAACTGACATAGGATCAGGTTGGACAAGAGCTAGTCTAACCCCCATTCAAACAACCTTGTTGGCATGGCAAGACATGCAGGGCCATGAGTCTCAACCAGTGTAGCTTCTTCGGTCACTGCAGTATGCAAGCTCGACCACCACAGCAAGGTAGCAGTTATCTTCTGGGGTCTTTACACGCGATGTTAGCTGGCACAGGATCAGGTTGGACAAGAGCTAGTTGTGGTCAAGACAAAACTTCGAACCAGTCTATGAAATCTTTGACAATTAATTTCAGCCTCATAGATAGGCTTACACTGCCTGATTAGAGTCCTTACGAAGTTAATAACCAATGACTGGAGACTTGGTGATTTGACTCGAAATCTTTCCCAGTGGTGAAGATGCATTCCGTCTTTGTGATCCCCCATATCCAACAACACCCTATTGTTTCTTCCATGTTAATATTCTTCCTTCCTCAATTTTCTGTTTAGTATTGTCCATTTGAATCCCATTTTTCTGCCCTTGTGTGCTACAAAGAGTGTAGTAACTTAAACTGCTGCACTTTTGTGCAAAGTTCTATGTTGAAACTCAACCAGCTGAAATATCCAACTGCCATTCCTAGTCGACGCACTCCTCAACTTCGTTTACTAGTTTACTAGCCAACAGGTAGTAAGGCCGGGAAAGAGATAAGGCTGGGTGTGAGGCTAGCAAACCCCTCTCACACACTCCATACTAAGAATATCACCGCTAATGAAACTTCAAAGGTAAAAGAAAAGGAATTTAAAAGATAGCAACACTGTCGCTTCTGTTGCTGGACAGAAATCTAGTGATTCTTTAAACGTAGCGCTAATAAGATAAATAGTCTACCTTCTACTCAAAAAACTGCATCTGATTAGATAAGAGACTTCTGTAAAAAGACAAAAACTCCCCAACAGCGAACTGAAGCAGCCGAGTATCTTTAATTACTTGATATTCGTTTAACTTTATAAACAGATCAAAAACCAACACTGTTGATTAGGGCTTTCTACTTCTAGAGTCCCATGATTCACAAACTTCGCAGTTATACTGTAGTTTTGCTTGTTCTCACCTTTTGTTTGAGGAGAGTCTTTCGACTAAAATTGAGGAGAGGTAGTTTACAATGTGGATTAACAAAGTTTACATCATGACTATGAATGAGTAGTTGGTAGCAGAAGTTTATGTCCATAAGAAGAAACATAAATCCCCTGTAATTAACTTCACCTGTAGTTTTGTTAGTTCTCTAAGAGAGTATTAGAGAGGGGAGAAAGAAGTTCCATAGGAATCAGACTTGCTCCTAGATATCTTAAGCACATTGTTACCAACCACCAAATCCTCAAACGCTTACTGACGTCCGACAAGAAGCATAATCCTTGTCCAGGATTCACTGTGTGTTCCCATTAAAAAGGATGTCTAGAACTAAAATTAGTTTTTACCATGTATGCTATAAGTGTGTCTATGGGTCACTGATATAACACGCTCACCGATCACTCACGTGGTCAAGGTTCGCTCCTCAGCCAGCGCGCACTGCAAAAGCTCTCCTAGCCGGTGGTAAACCAGGAAAAGAGGGAAGGTTAGGCGTGAGGTTAACAACACCGCTGCTTCTGAAACTCCAAATCTTAAAGCTTCGAGCCCTATGTTCCAATCGGATCATAAGGGAGTGTTAGGTAACACGAAAGGGTGAGCAATATTGAGTTGGTGAGGCATCAATCGAGTGCTAGGTAATGGAGGAGGGCAAATAAATCTATTGATGAGGTTGTGAAGCAGTTACATTGATTGAGTGAGATGGTTGGGACATGTGTTGCGCATTTACGCTTAACTATTGCCCTCCTCGACTAACGGTCAATGTTAGCTGACCTACGATCAAGTTGGATAAAAGAGATAGTATATGGTAGTCAAACGAAAACATGGCTTCATCGGTCAATCGAATCCATAACAACAGTTAGTTTAAGCCCCCAGCCGCCACGTAGGTGGGGGGTGTAGGCATTCTGACTGGCTGGTTGGGGCCCTTGGGATGATGGTGAGAATGAATGAAAGCTAGAGACTATTGGTGATATGGCTCATCGTTGTCAATGTTAGTACAGATGCACTCAGTCTTTGTGAATTGTCACATCCAATAAAACTCTGTTGTTCTCCCATGTTACTATTCTTTTTCCCTCACTCACACTTCAGTTTATTATCTCTGTTTTTTAAAGTCTTTTTCCTATCTTCTCTTTCTTTGTATGCTACATGAAGGGAGAGAGATTGGCAACCCGAACTGGTGCCCATCTGTGCAAAGTTCTATGTTGAAACCAATCAGTCAGCAAAGGAGTGAAAAGAAAGTGTATGCTACACAACGAATATTATAATACACACAATATGAAGATAGTATCCATATTCTGTGACAGTCGTGGAATGTCTAACAACTAAATTACAGCATTACAGTTTCTTTGAATGCTATTCAACTTTTTGTCTTTTGATGTCTTTGCTGTTTTCATGTAAGGTCATTTTATAATAGTTATGCTTTAACATCGTATATAGACGTAATTCTGTCCCAAAAAAGGACTGGTACGTTGAAAACGTTAAAGGCGACACGGCATCTTAAAGGATTTTCCAGTGCTTTTTTTCTATTCCCTGAACTGAATCCGTCTAATTGAGAAGCTTTCATCATTGTCCTTCTAGAACCCACCTAAGCTAACAAATTTGCTTTATCAGCTCAAATATCTTAAAGCATGTTCAATATTGTGGTCGAAGTTGTCATTCACAGTATTAAAAGTGACCATTTCAAAGAAATTGAATGCTTTATATAATGAACAATATTAAGCATAACAAGATAATATTTAAAACAGTGACCTACAACATTAGGGTCGAGTAGGCGTTGAAGATTATTTCCACAGTACTGAATTAATTCATCCACAACACGTCTTGACTCAGGTTTACGTAGCATTTTGTTCAGAAATCTTCTTACTTCAGCTTCTCTACCATTCTCGAGGTAATGAGATATTTTTGCAGCCAACGTTGAAACTTTCGGGCCTTTTCTAGGCAGATAATCATATTCTTGTGTATGGTTATCTGATTGAGCAATATAATAATTGTCAGAGTGATTTTTAGCATTTTGAGCATTAATGTCATCTGGATTATTTACAGACAGTGTTGATGAAGATTCGGATAGAATACGTTGACTAACAGAAGAGCCTTTAGATAGCTGAATTGGATTAAATGTACGTGTTGATCGTTTGTTGGTCGTAGATGTGGAATTGTGTCGTGAGGTACCTTTATGCAAACTTCTCGTCTCCATACTGCGTATCCTTTGATAAGCTCCAGAATGGTCTGATGATGGTCGTGATGCTCGTTTGCTGGTTTTGCACTAAATAGAGATATTTTGTGTATAAGAGACCAGTTGCAAAAAAAAAAAAAACATGAACACCTCTTAAAGAGTTTTACTGCCCTAGTCACTCATTGGAACAATTAACAGAATTAATGATGAAATAACGATTTGGTGACACAGCAAGTAGCTACACCAGGTGGATCCTCATTGAATCAATCTAGAATATCAGCAAGCTAGTTGCAATTACTTTTAAAAACAAAACTAGGCGAAAATAAAATTCACCTAAAAGTCATTCAAAACTAGCAATCGAGTTATACGCCAACCAGTAACTCGATTGTTACTAATATCACTATGCAGTCCTCAAATTCATGAATAATACCCATCCAGACATTAATAAAGTCAAAACATGTAGTTCAATGAAGTCTCTTCTCGGCGAATTCATTCACTTGGCTGTACAATCACAATTATACATAATTATTTGTGTGTGTGTGTGTGTACATTAGGTTTGCCAGACAAGAATAGCAATTAGTTGGTAATTGTTTACGCCACCAGAATATTTCAAATAATGTGATGAATAATTAAACCGTAACTAGGATGAGTAAAGATTAGTAAGAGTTCACCTGTCGCTATGTAGCCAGCTACACTGGTCGTTGTACGCGTCTCTTACCCAAAAGGGTTCACAGTATGGCTGCAAAAAAGTAGTAGTGGCTCTATAAGGAGTGCGATCATCAAATATCTTGTCAACACTAGCCATTCCATCTCAACAAACACCTCCTCCTCCTTCAAGGTAATCTACAAAGTGAAGAATAACTTGCCAAAGCTAATACACTTTCGATTCCCTTGTGTTACTGAAGCCTTAACCATTCGGTTGGAAAAACCAGAGCTATGCGTACAAAAGAAAATTATTCAACCACTTCTACTACATCATGGTAACAACCATGTTGATTTCTACTAGCTTGATTTTTGTTTTTCAGTTTGTTTTTCTAACTCCTCATAACTCTTGTATTTCTTCACATAATTCCATTTTTCCCTTCGTTTCTACGTCCATGTTAATCAAAACTCACTCATTAAACTATTCGTCTTATTACGTAACCACGATACACTTGTACAAATTCTCGTATGCATTGACTAACATTAAAAACTGTGTTTCTTCGACAACTGATCACCAGTGCCCTCTTACCCCCCCCCCATCAACCTAGTTACAATTAGATTATTCCTCACATATTTTGAAATATTTTGATGACGTAAACAATAACCCAAACTAATTTTTATTCGAGTCTTCAAATGTCGATAAAAATCGGTTGGTCAAGTATTCAATGTGATTAGATGAAATCATTGTTTACTTTGGTGTATTTCCTCTCTGCTTCAAGTGTTTTACAAAGATTTCCTTTTATTTAATCAGTCATCTCCTTGGCAGGGCGTTATCTACAATCCTTGAGAAATCAGTAGTCTCCAAGATTGCAAATCTCCGCTACTCAGTTTTCATATGAGTAACTTTAATTAGGTCATTGTGAGTATATGTGAACGGATAAATGGCAAGACAGGCAGAAATGAAAAGTATTCATAATGTAGACTTAACCTTAACTTTTGAAATAATTATTTTCCAGTGGATGTTTCCTTTGAGTTACTAATCATCTTTTGCCGACTACTATCCGTAACACCTTGGCTTCAGATGGGAATCATGAAATACACTAGATGCAGCTAGTACTATGCAAAACAATGAAAACCTGCATATGAGACAGCAATAACATCTATAAAAGCAGACTACCAGTGATGCTATCTACTCTTGCAGTGCCGATAGCAAGTCATAGTTCCAAAACAGCAGACCTGAAGTTATACATACACATATATAGCATGTTTTGGCATGCGATTTGCACCTGTCAAATGTAGGATGATGTCACTACACTGACTCCTAGCTTAAAGATGATAGGGGATGATGCGGTAGGAAGTGCTGACTACTTCACTCATTCGGGAAGTTGCATCAACCCAAAGGGACTAACTGCTGGAGAAATCTCAGCAAGGGTACAAAAGGTCCGTGAGTCATTCGTGACCCTAAGTCATCTCTGGCGTAGACCGTACGATTATTGGCCAAAGAACGTGTGTACTGCTCAGCAGTTCGCTCTGTCATTCTTTATAGCTGTGAAACACAGCGATTAAAAGGGAGAGGTACGAAAAGGCTAACTATCTCTGATCACAGATGTCTGCGTTCTATACCTCGTGTCAAATGGTACAATATGGTGAGCAGTATTGAAGTTAGGCGTAGTGTAAGGTGAGGAGGGTAAGTCAATCGATGAGGCTGTGAAGCTACATGGATTGAAATGGCTAGTACACGCGTCGCGGATGCTAAGCCAACTAAAAGATTTGGCGGTGGTTAAACCAAAACTTGACATCAATTCATGAAGGCTTTGACTGTTGGTTTGAGTCGGGGTCCTCGGGATTCTAAGGACCAGTCGTTGGATACTGTTGGTCAAACGGCCCAATGGTGCAGATGCATTCAGCCTTTGTGATATCCTATGTCCCTCTTACACTGCTGGTTATTTTGACACTTTTGAATCCCTTTTTTCTATTTTATCTTTCTTTCTATGTTGCATGGAGTGTGACAACAACTTGAACTCCAGCACTTCTGTGCAAGTTCTGTGTTGAAATTAATTTGGTCGGTTGTTAAAAGTGGAAATGCAAACTGGCCAAAATAAATATCCTAATTCAATATCCTATGAATTTTCTCGAAAAAAACTAACGATGTCACCAGGACGGTAAAATTTTAATCAATTTTTTTTTCTGAATTAAGAGTCAAATTCACAGGGAAACACGTAGACTAGTTTTTAAAAGTTAGAATTAAGTTCCACTACAACACATTAAGTAAACTTAAAGAATTTCACGTTAAATTTCAAATCATTTCCTGTTAATAATAATAATCTACTTTTACAACTTACAATATTTCGGTTAACAGACAAATTTTCTGAAGATGGAAAACCGGATGATAAATCAGATGATCGAGCCGGTGGAATTACATTGACATATGGTGGTGAGAATGACTGGTAAGATGAACTTCCAGATATCTCCAGTGTAGTATTTCTACTATCATTACTGAATCCAGAATTCGATCTCCTGTTCAGGTGTTTACTTCTGTAATTTGAATTTTGTGATTCAGAGTTTCGATTGCTGTTTGAGTGATGAGAGGTTGACTCACGTACAGAATATTCGGAGGAATTATCAGCTGCAGCTGCACCTGCAAGACCAGGTAGAGGCACTTTTAAGCGATTATGCGAGACAGCAGAGATCAGTGAGGTGTCACCTGGACAAAGCGATGACCATGCTGAGGATGGCAATGATGATAGACTGGTTTCATAGGACATAGCATCTTCATCTGTACATCGTAAGGAATGCATATGAGTAAACAATTGTTTGCCTTGATGTGAAATATCATGTAAAGTGTTGTTTTGTGAATAGTTTTTCACCTCTTTATGCCATAGTGAAGGTTGTTCATAAGCAGAACGCTGACTAAAAACCTTGTCACAGTCATCAGTACACTCTGAGGTTGAATCATACTTTGTTGAGGAGTTGTCTTGATGCTCCAGGGAACAGTCAATAAACAGTCGGTCATTTTTTGTTCTCTTTTCTCTATCCTTTTCGTTTCTTTGTTTATGACTTTTACTGGTAGTTTTGTAAGAATGTAAATACATATCTTGAATATCACTGCCGGAAAGTGTTTCAGAACTCATTTTCTTTTTAAGTGAATGTTCGTGTGATCTATTATGATTAATGAACTGATGATTATTATCATTATTAATTCTATGCCGAGATTTATTTGTAGGAATTCCTGAACTATTATTCATTGTACACTCTAATTTATTTGCATTAATTGGAACACTGACCTTCGTATTATTTAAACTAATATGAGAATATGACAAAGAGTTTGACAATCGATGATTGGGTGAGACTGAAAAACACCGACCAATCATAGACTTTGCTGGTGAATGAAGCTGTGATTCATCATCATCATCATCATTATTGTTATTGTGTGATGAATTTGTTGTGCTAAAGCTGAGACTGACTGGCATAACAGGTGTACACTTTTTTTGGTGTTGAGAAGCACATGTTTGCATTTCATCATCTGTGAACATAAAGCAAATTTTCTTCTTTTGTTTACACAAAGAATCTGATTGGTTGTTGTCCTGATTGCAATTGTTCACTTGGTCAGACATATTACTGTCCTTAGGTGATGAAAATGTCTCATGGAAAGGAGTGGTGGCATCGGTTTTTGCGTGAAACAGCCTAGGATTGTATTCAGCATAGTCTGTTGTCTTGTGTTTTTTACTATAAGAGTTATCAGGTTTCAAGTTTTTGGAGAGAAATCGATGTGGATAGGTGTCATTCTTTTTACATTGTTCAGACAACCATTTTACATCTGTTAAACTACTAATATTGATACTAGATTTGGGAGAGTTGATATTATCATCATTGTCAGAGACAACATACTCATGAAAACTTTCACCATTTGATGATGACGATGAAGAAGAAGAACTTTCTGCACACTCTTCCGATGATAAATGGACTGTTTCCGGAGTTAAAGGATACAAGTTACTTTTATTGACAAATACGTTTGGCTTAGCTGTCAGTGTTCCTGATAATGAAGACTCAGTGGAAAGGTATTCAGAACAAGATACAGAAGGATTTGATGAATAAACAAAAGAAAAGTATTCAGGACTTGGAAGTTGATCAGTTGCATCCAGTTGATCGCATGAAATAGTAGGATCAATGCTTAACACAGATTGTTGTTTTTGGTTAATTATACGATTTTTATTTACAGATTTATTTGATTTATTGAAAGACAAGTGACCAATATCAGGTGTACTATGGGAAAGTGAAGGATTGTAACTATTAAACCTTGTTGGGTCAAGAACACCACACCTTGAAGTACAGACAGGCTGACTATCATCCGTATTCAAATTTACACATGTAGGAACTGTGGTCTGACTGTGTGAAAGGCGGTCGTCCGCTGAAGTAGGCAATCCCAAAAATGATTGTCGTAGCTCATTTAACCTCCGCCTGTGCAGAGCAGCTTCACTGGCAGCACTGCTGACTTTCTCAGTTGATTCATCAAGTTGGTGGTTTTGATTTTTTAAATTTGGATACACTGGTGGTAGTAATGATAAAGGCATTTGACAAATCAGCCAACCAAATTAGTCCATTTTAGTTAACAAACCTGGAAAAATTTGTGAATAGAATACATCAACACACGAATACATTAAAAAAAACGACTGGTTAACAAGAAACATTAAAGTTCCAGTGTGGACGATGGAACTACATCCCTTGTTTGACTAAATAGGCTTTTAAATTCAATATCATCATCCATCCTGGAACTAGAACACTTCAAATTCAGTCTACAATGATTGTTGTTATCAGTACAAAAACATCAAATACAACAGTAAAAGTTTCTTGACAAAGGAGCACAGAGAAGAACTAAAGAACTTGATGAATGACGAAAGACTGATAACCACAAAGCCTGATAAAGGGTCAGGAGTAGTCCTCGTCTTTAGAAGTGACTATTTTTTAAAAAGATGAATGACATGTTGAAAGATACACAGAAGTTTCAAAAACTTGATAAAGATTTCAATAACAAAATAGACAACGAATAAACCAGACGTTTGAAGAAACTAAGGGAGGAACAGATATTTCCTGAAAATTTATATGAATAAATCAGGCCAATGGGCACCTACATGCCGAGATTGTATGGACTATCTAAAGTACATAAACCGGGGGTACCGTTAAGACCAATACTTGATACTCGAAATTCACCCTACCATGCTTTAGCTAGATGGTTAGTAAATATCCTCAAACCTTCGCATGAGCAGATAGTGCAAAATAGCATCAAAGATCTATTTGAATTCGCAGACAAAATCAAAGATATTAATATCAAGGATAAAACGATGATATCTTCGCACATAACATCTTTATTCACAAATGTACCTCTAGTAGAAACAGTTAACTATATATGTGAACGAGTGTATAACTAGTCGATAAATATCGGCATCCAAACGGAAATCCTAAAAGAATTGTTATTAAGATGTACCGTGAATGTAAATTTCAAATTTGATGGCACACTTTACAGATAAGTGAACGGCGTGGCGATGGGCTCCCATTGGGTCCCATTTGGGTAGATTTCTTTCTAAGTAAACTAGAAAATGAACCTTTGAACAACCTTATCAGAAAATTCCCATTTTATTGCCAGGATGTAGATGACACCTATCTTCTTTGTGATGACGATTCTCACAGGAACACAATAGTAACTCAATTCAATGGAGTACATCTGCTATGAAGTTCACTTGCGAAGACGAATCCGAGAATAGAATAGCCTTCCTATATGTCCTCCTTACAAGAAAACCAGATGGTAGTATAGAGAGAAATTTGCATAGGAAGAGAACATGGACAGGACAATGTACACATTTTCATAGCTCCGTTCCTCTCCAGTATGAAAGAAATCTAGTAAGGACCCTCAGCCACAGGGTTAGAGCTATGTACTCAGAAGAGGTAACTGAGGATAAACTAGGGATCTTATACAACACCTTGACTGAAAATAGCTGTCTCGACAAATTCATTAGGAAACATATGGCTAAGAAAGTTGAAAAGGACTATTCACCATCCGTAAACAAGAAGCATGTATACGTACCACTGCAAATCAAGGGCGATATATCTAGCGAAACAATTACGAAGAAGCTAAGAAAGTCAGATAAAAGAACTTTCAATGCTGGAAAACTACAAGTCTTATTTTCTGCACGACTGATTCCTGAGTTGAAAGATGAAGTGCCTGGGCTAGGCACTTTTAATTGTATCTATCAACTCAACTGCCCTTGTGGTGGAGCGAGTTATATTGGCCATCGCTTTAGGAACTTGATTTTTAGTGCTCGCTCAGGAAAATCCACCTGTGAGGTTAAATAAAGGTGTAGCGTGAAGCATCAGTAGAGTGATATTAGACCACCTGGTACAAACTGGACACAAAGCTAATATTGAAGAGTCCTTCTCCATCATCTATCGGGTACTAAATAAATTGTGAAAAACATCAAGGTACCACATACTCCAAACAGTGGAGGCTACCGCGATTCGCTTTAAACTACCGGTGCTCAGTGGGCAGAAGAAGCAAGTCCAGCCACTATCAGTGTCCTGACCTTCAGTGGAGACTATGAATTCGTGAATTTGTACTATTATTTTCCCTGATTTTTCTGATATTCAGTGAATTGTTATCTTGATGCTATCGAACTGTAATCCACCGATATCATTATTATTTTTGATTCTATGTGATTTAAACATTAATGTTGTTAATAAGACTAATTCATTCACTATTATGTATGTATATATAACATCCAGTCAGCTGTAAAAACAGTGGTAAAGGCTATTGATAACCTGAAGCCAAAGATTAGTAAATACGTATGGATATCTGCTGCCTCATCTGAACTGGTAGACACTAGAAAACTGATTCCTGTTGGCTTTAAACATAACTAGGAGCAACATCTCAAAGTTAACTAAAATTCTCTGCACACACCCAGGAAAGTTGTGGCAGACAAAAGCGAGGGTTAGAAAAAAAACAGTACGTAACACCAAACAACAATTAAGACCGATTAGGGAAAAGCTTGTGGAACAATTTCTGAGAACTGTGCTCTAATCACCTTTCATGACAGATAATTGGAACTGTGGAGGGGTTGGTCTGCAGCCACGCTAAATTTACCCAGCATCAAACACCTACCTCTATCTAGGGTCAAGACATTGGTCCCCCAACTGTAACTGAGGTTGCGAAAGCTATCTGTAATCAAAGGGGAGACCTGATGATATGACTCCAGAGGTGTTTAAAGATGGTGACAATAGACAGTCATCTAAGAATTAGAGGTAGCCCCGTTCGATTGGTGTAAATCACTGATTATTCTAATTTATAAGAAGGGAGACAAGTAGTCATGTAGTAATCATAGAGAGATTAGCTTGACTAACATGATATCTTAAGTACTCGATTCAATAATCGTGCACAAACCGAGTGGTGTTCAGGAGAAACAAACTCGTGAAAACCACTCCGGCTTTAGGTGCAAACGGATTCTATAACATGAGTGTGGTTACCGGCATCGAACATTTGCAATATGTCTTGACCTGAAGGTGGCAGGCACTTGACTCCGTCGACCGACGATGCTGTGGCAATGCCTAGTCGTGTAAGGAGTGAACAGAATGTAAATCGCTGTAACCCAGTAGTATAATATAATGAGTGTCCATCTGTGGCACTGCGGTAGAATGCTTGCCAACCACGCAGGTGATTTGAGGTTTGGTCCCCGGTCGACGCACACCTTTATCTCACTAAGTCAATAATAACAGTGGCAAAGAGGGAAGCTTGGGCATGAGGCTAGCAATCCCATCTCGTAAAAATAAATACCACTGCTACCGAAACTTCAAAGCTCTAGATGGAAGCCCCATGTTCCACTGGGGAACGTGAAAGGATTATTAAAAAAATAATGTGATGAGTAGCATCGAGGTTAGGCGTAGTGTTAGGTAAGGAGTGCAAGTCAATCGACCATGATGTGGAGCTAATCGATTCAGATGGCTAGGATACGTGTTACGCATGTCGAACCACCTCCGTCCTCGTCGAGCAATGTAACCTGACATTGAACAGTTTGAAAAACCAGGCATCAACTGATGAAGTTTTTGACAATTGGTTTGAGCAGGGTGGAGAGGTGTAGACCGTCTGATTGGGGTCCTCGGGATTCTAAGAACCAATTGACCGAGACTGTTGGTGACATGGCTCATAATCTTTGTTAATGATTCAGATGAAATCATTCTCTTTTATCTCCCATACTCACTAAGTCATCATGCCTTCTCCATGCAGTTATCCTTTTTACCGGACATTTCTATTTGTTATAATTCCTTCGAATCCTATTTTCCCTCTCATTCGTCCACTTTCGTCTGCCACATGTAGTATGGTAACTTGAACTGCTGCAATTCTGTGCAAAGTTCTCTGTTGAAAGTCAGTCAGTCAGTGAGATGCTTCTCAGAAAGCGGATTGATGTCATTTTCCGATCTGATCATTTCCAGCTCTTTTACAACCTAATCCCACTTCAGACATATACAGTAAGTATTTAGTCACGAAAAATCTAGTAATATTTTTAGAAACAGAAGTCAAGGCTTTGAATAATTTTACTGAACAGAAAAATGTCTCCATTTTGTTCTGACTAACAGCCTTGGCCAGACAGCATTCACGCAAAAGGTAGAAATTAATAAGCAAATGATTATCTTTAGCTACAAAATGATCTCATTTTATTAAGGTTCAGAATAAGATAGATGTGCACAATGAATAGTCAGTGACTGATATAAAATAAGACAGCAATTCACATTCATATTCAGTTGTATAGTGTTATGCGAGTAATAAACGACTGTTATTTATGTGATCAATAAAAAAGATACGATACTTACCCTCAGTTTATTGTAGACAAGTATTTGCATACAGTGAGGAAATAGATAACTACTGGGAAAAAAAGTAGAATGTTTAATAGAAGATGCAACGACAACTACAGATTACATGCATATATAAATAAGAGACAACTAGTGGATATATGCACAAGAGAAAAGAAATTGTACTAGGTAACGAAACGTTAATTCCAGAACACCAGACTATATATACACCAAACTATTTAGATAATCAGGAATTTGTTGATGCTCTTTTATATAAGAAGAAAAGCATAGTTGGTAAAAATGGCACAGTAAAAAGTAGATGTCGGTGTGGACTTAATTAACACTACACGATTAAGTCAGCGCATGTATGAATTGAAGAGTCATAGAGTTGTATGTTTTCTACAAATAGCTTCTATCGATGCAAGCAATTTTCAATCAGTAAAATTAAATTGTACATATAACCACCCATGATAAACCTGTTAATTATTATTATTATTGTTTCCTTGGGTTCCGAGTGGAGCATGCGGCTTCAACAACAAATCTTCACTTTGTGTTATTTTCTGCTGCCTCATTTACCTGGGCCCACGATTACCCATAATCTCTCATCTTTTCCATGCCACTCTTGGACCCACTCATCGCTTCCCATTCGGGTTCCATTCGAGTGGTGGCCTGAACTCAGAGCGATGTCATTTGACAGTCACCTCCGTGTGTATCGTAAACATCTCCACTTTTTACTACATATTTGTCGAAAGATAGGTTCTTGGTTAGTTTTTCCCCTGAGTTTTTTGTTGCTAATTCCTTCTGGCTACTTGATTTTCAATATGGAGTCAGCGAAGGCAGATGTTGATAAAAGCCTACAACTGGCTGTTGGACATGCTTTTCGTGACGCTTGGGCTAAGTTTCTGACCCATATAGAAGTACTGACTGAATCTGTGCGGGAAATCGGAATCTTTTTCTGTATGCTGAGTGCAGATTTCCAAACTGGTTTCAGGTTGATGAAGGTGTATCTTACCTTTCCGATTCTGGCTTTGACATCTTCATCTGTGCTATAGCCTGTGGTCGAGACGATGCTTCCTGGCCAGATAAGTGAAGGAAGTAACCTCTTTCAAATTTTTCCTGTTGATGGTGATTGGTGTTGTTGGTTGGTTATCTTCATTACCTCTGTCTTCTCTGTGTTCACCTGCAGTCCTCTCTTTGCTGTCGACTTCTTCAGCCAGTTGGTTGGTTTTCGCTTGCAAGTCTTCGAGTTTGTGTGACATTAGACATATATGATCTACGCGCGAAATCCAGATCTTCTAGAGTCTTCTTATTGATCGTCCAGCGTAATCCTGTCTTCTCGCTCCCCACAGTCTGACGCATAGTCCAGTCCACTACAATTAAGAATATCATTGTTGATAAGAGACAGCCGTCTTACTCCTGTGTGCCCCGCTGAGTTTCCCATTGTGGATGACCTGACACGTGGCATTGTCACTTAGCTGTTGAATAAAATTGGTGAAGATTTGGGCACTGAACGCCATAGTGTTGAGGTAGTTATCAAATTACTCCTCCGAAGTAAATGAAGTTGAGGTAGAGGTTTGTCTGTCATTCTATGCTTTGTTCGATGATGGTGAATAGAGCTGCAATTTGATCAGCAAATTTGAGTTTTCTGAATCCAGTGCATCTCTTATTCTCTCCAGGATGACGCGACTTAGTATTCAACTTGGTGTGGACAAAAAGATTATTCTACGCCAGTTCTTACAGGGGCCTGAGTTGCCCTTCTTTGGTAGCTCGACAAGGTAGCCTTTCTTTCAATCAGTAGGCATCTTTCCTTCCTTCGAAACCTTTTGCAATAATGGCGTCTGCATATCTGCCACAGTCTCTGGATCCGTTTTCAGTGCTTCCATCTGGTCCTGCTGCCTTCTCGGCTGGCTTTCAGTAGCTTGATTGCACTCAAGATTTCCGCTTTTCTTGAAGGATTGGTGTCCAATTGCAGTTCTGTGAGTGCTGTTGTTGGTAATAAAACTAATAAGGTTAATATAATATCCTGTCCACCACAGTTATGAACTAGATTTTCACTAGAAAAATTGATTGATAATAGTCAACAGACATGTAACAATGATAAAATGAATTCTGGTTAAATTGTTACAGATGAACCACTGACCAACGTCCCACACTTAATCCCACAAAAAATATACAGAAACACAACCTTTGAGGGTTGTTTTGAAACTACAAATGTTGGCTGATGGAAAGACAGTTGCACTAGACTAGCATGAAGTAGAAAGATGTAATCTGGCAAGAAATTAATCTCTGAAGAAGGATGACCAAGCGGCAAAGGAGTGAACAATATTTTTTGGGTGGGGGGGGGGATAAAAATACGCCAAAAGTGAATCCTAGCTGAGTATGTCTGACTGGGTGAGTTCTCAACATGCAACTTTTCACAAAAGTGTAAATGCATCTGCACCAAGGACAACGATTTTCAGCCAATGTTACCAACAATATCCAGCTATTGGTTCTTAAAATCCTTAGAACCCCAGTCAAACAATCTATACCTACCCACGTGGCTGGTTCAAACCAACAGTCAGACACTTGATAGAATGACGCCACACTTTGATTTGACCACCCTCAGTGCTGAAATTACGTCAGCAACCAGTCTACTAGGGCTGATACAACTTCACAAATAAATGAAGTGGTCAACACGCTCAACCATTTCACTCACGATTTTCATACCAGGAGTCGGTACAGACCACAGTCCTGCAGCATCACCTTGTATTTGGCAGGAGCGAACTGCATGTCAGACACTAGATTTCTGCTTAAGGTGTTCAGAAGACTGCATTTTTTTAGTGTCATATCCTAGATGAACAATATACTCTGCATACTCTGGTAAAATGCCAGTCCCAAAGTCACTAAAACCGATTCAGGTCACATTTATTAGTTAGTTAAACTACACTAGAGACATTGGGCATCCCTGACGGATACCACTGGCTGCCATAATTTTAGATGCAAAGATTCCATAAGTTCATACATGGCTATGTGAGTTCCATTAATGTCTCGATTAGTGTCACATGCATTCTCAGCATTTCTTTCACGACCACACTGCCACAGCACCTTTGCTTAGATGGAGTCGAATTCCCTCTTCAGGTCAAGAAGTATGACAAGTTTTGGGCGCCAGTGAATATGTTTATGTCCCAGAATCTCTTGGAACGTAAAGATATGGTTGACACACTCAGGGTGTGCACACAAACATGTTTATTAAGTTGCTGTTAAAAAACTTTGGGAGTTCTGAAAGGCTTGGGGTTTTGAGTTGATCACTCAGCCCATTGAGCTGCGGATGGCAGTAAAGGAAAAAAACAAGAATGAAAGACGGAAATATATTGTTCACTTTCTGAACAGATAGAAGACCGAAAAGACGTGTGACTGTAATCAATCTCAAGGCACACTAAATAAAACCCGAAATAATCATCTCGTATTTTAATCAAAATATGCATTAATATATAATAGCTATGCACGACTGACTGAATTTTCAACGTTGTACTTTTCATAAAAATGCAGGTGTCCAATTTGTCACACTTCATAAAAGGTCGCAAAATTTTGGAAAGTAAATATGGTGAAAACACAATAACGAGAATTCAAGGAATATGAAAGATCCCAAAGAGTGAATACAACTGCGCACTTGAGCACGATTTTCAGCCATGTCGCCAACAACAGTCTCCAAACACTGATTCAAAGCATCTCCAAGACCCTAGCCAGGCAGTCTATATTTCTCTACGTGGTTCAAATCAACTGCCAGAGACTTCATGGATTGTCGTAATGTTTTGGTTTTACTATGCCTAACTCCATTACAACCTAATCCTATAGCAACCGACGTTGGTGTTCGAGGAAAGTGTTGGAGTATCACATATGTCAGCTATCTTAATCGATTGACCTCCTAATACTATAACACTCAACCGTATTACTGACTATAATGAACTGCCATAATTTGTATTCCAGTAGTAAAGTTTTATAATTTCCCACTTGAGACAGAATTTTTCACACAAGTTTTCGACTAGTTATAAAGGATGCCAGCAAATAGGAAAAAGTCATCACAAATCCAAAAAGGTACCATAAGCGTAGGACAATAGGATTTTAGATTTGATAAAGCATAAAAATCACTAGAAAAAATGCAGAGATTTTACAACAAACAAAAAGGATATTAGCAGAGATGGGAAAATTAAATGGACAATAAAATGTGCATAGCAATGTGAAAAATAAAAGACGAATGCATATTCAGCCCTGTGATCAACTTTAGACAAAGTGACCTTACGACTTGATCAGCTGATTTTTAGTATTTCGTGGATGCTGTTTATTTAAAATACAATACAATTGACAAGTATATTATCATTAATACACTACACAACATCAAACAGTTGTGATTGAAATTAAGACCAGAGATTTAGAACAGTTAAAATATTCCATAGTTTTTACAGATATTCTGATCCGATCGTATTCAGTTATTTTTAGCCCAGATTTTTGCATATGTGGTAATAACACACACTAATTTCCGTCGAAACCATCAACATACTTATATGCCCAAGTTTTATACTTATATGAAATAAAACTGTTTACCAGTCATTGAGTAGTGAGTGTACATTTTCACAAAGCTCAATACTACTGATTGATTGAGTAGTTATAAGCCACCCATACTAACCAACAGTGTCTACTAACCAGGTTGAAGTGATCTAAACACTGGATGGCATTTTCACTCCGTCTGGGGACAAACTCACCCGCGGCGTACTCAGTTTTGACCTTGGCTTCTTGATTACCATTGATGGCATCAAGCAGATCACAGGTTGTTATCTGAACAATTTCGGTTTCCAAAGGTATGTGTGGCGAAATCTCATCCCAAACCATTTAAATTACGAGTTTACTTGCAAGGGATATTTTGCAGACATGTAAATAATCATTGAGTTACTGTGATCAAAACCGTATTTGATGACGACAAGTCAAGAGTTTAAACTCCAACTAAGTAAATAAAAAAAATTGCTGATGACCAGTAAAATGAACCCATTTTCCTGTTATCAAGATACGATAACCATGCGTTACCTGAAAGACATGAAATACGGACCCTAGATAATGTTAAGCCGGCCAAACAGCCGACGCGGAGACTCCGAAATGTACAGATTACGTTAAATAACAGCGGTGATAACATTGGGTTTCTAAAGAGAGACCTAATTCTAAAGATTTAAAGCGAATAGCTCTGGTTGCTCCAACAGTGTATATAATACTGGTGAGTCAATACCTAAAGAGGAGAATAGTTCTAAATTTGTACCAAAATTTAGGTCCGATAGCTATCCACGCTTTCCATTTACAAAAATGCAACAACTACGTCAACAGTTGATGTTCATCAGTTAATTTACTTTCTGTAATTTATCTAGGCTACCTAACAAACATTTGATGTCACTAATGATTTACACCATGTTTGTCTTAATCTCAGGCTGGCACATGAAATATCTGTCCAGGGTAAGTTCAAACAAACAATAGCTGTGGCTACATAGGCACTGTCTCAGTGATTAACAGTATTGAATAACACTCATTGTCATTCCGATATTTGAAGTTTAAATTCGATAGCCAGAATTAGAAGTAGTTGGCTCCTGTTTATTGCGTAATAACTCTGAGGTGGCTGATTTATAGGTTAACGTTCAACTAAACGTAGGAGTGCATCATTCCTACTAACCACACTTCCTAACTCACTCAAAATATGGAAGAGTAATAGGGGAATGCGATAGAAAAGAACTGAACGAATACCGTTGAAGCTTTTGAGAGTTTGGTATTTGGAGTGAGTACATCTTGACGAGTTTGAATGATCTTATCAAGAGATCCAACAGTTGGTTTTCGGCTATTTTACGTAATTTACGTTTACTTACACGATACAGATCTACGCTCACGAATTCCGAAATACGTGAGATTCCGAGTACACATGATGGTCTGCAAATGGTGCATCAGTCTAGAGACTCAAATGCGTATTACATGGCTTTTAAGTATGGGGAATAGACATAGGTGTAGTAGAGGACTCTACTCGAACTCATGCAGCCAGGTAAGAGCTTACGGCGAGTTGTCATCTGAAGTGGTGACAACTAGTGGTGTCCGTCAGGGATGCGCACTTTCCCCATTTCTATTCAATTTCATCATAGATGTACTAATGGACTTAACCCTAAGTGATTTCAGCGACTCAGGGATTGGCTTGTTACCAGGGGATAATCTCGTTGACTTAGAATATGCAGATGATATAGTCCTCCCTCTTAGGTGAAGACGCTGACAAAATGCAGAGTCTTCTGAACACCTTGAGCAGCAATCTTCGAATGTTTGGCATGTGATTCGCTCCTGTTAAGTGTAAGATGACGCTACAGGACTGGACTACATTGACTCCTAGCTTAAAGATAGAGAATGAAGTGGTAGAGCGCGTTGACTACTTCACTTAATTTGGAAGTTGAATCAACCCCAGCGGGTTGATCGCTGACAAAATCTCCGCACGGACACAGAAGGCTCGTTTCGCACATGTTAGTTTGCGCCATCTCTGGCGTAGACGTAATATCCGGCTGCTTATCGATCAAAGGACGTGTGTATTCCCCAGCAGTCCGCTCCGCCCTCCTTTATGGCTAGCTGTGAGACATGGCCATTAAGAGTGGAAGACATGAAAAGGCTAGCTGTCTTTGATCAAAGGCGCCGGCGTACTATCTCCCGTGTGAAGTGGTATAATAAGGTGAGCAATATTGAGGTTAGGCATCGGTCGAGTGCTAGGTAAGGAGGGGGAATCAATAGGTGAGGCTGTGAAATTACATCGACTGAGATGGTTAGAACATGTGTTACATATGCCTAGCTGTCGCCTTCCTCGACGAGCAATGTTAGCTGACATAGGACCAAGTTGAAAAAGAACCAGTGGTGGTCAAACCAAAACATGGCTACATCATTCAATGAAATCCACGGCAGTAAGTTTAAGCCGACCACGTAGGGAGGTGTAGACTTCCAGGTTGGGATCCTCGGGATGGTAAACACCAATGGCTGGAGACAATTGGTGATATGGCTCAAAATTGTTCTCAATGGCGCAGATGCATCCACTCCTTGTGACTTATATCTAATAAAACTATATTGTTCTTCGATATTACTATTCTTTCCACCTTATATGTCCGTTTACTGTCCCTGTTTTGAATCTCGTTTTACTTTCTTCTCTTGCTTTGTGTGCTACATGAAGTGTGGCAACTCGAACTGCTGCACATCTGTGCAAAGTTCTACACTGAAACCAGTCAATCATTCATTTCGGATTAGGCCAACGCCTATATGAGTTGTTTAGCGACTACCTGATGGATAGGAGGCAGAAGGTAAGGGTTGATTGTGCATTCTCATGGGGAAAGCAGTACTGAGTGGAGTACTGCAGGGAATTGTTCTTGGCCCCATGCTATTCCTATTATACGTAAATTAACTCTACAATTCTTACCTTATCATCCTTATTATTTGGGGACGTGTTAAGGTATGAAAAACTGTAAGTAATATCGATGATGTGTTGGCACTGCAAAACGATCTAGATATATTAGCTGAATGGGTTAACCTCTGGAGTCTGGAAATTAGTTCCAAGAAAAGCGCGGCAATGCATCTAGGTCAGAAGTCTTAAACGACGCACTCTGAGGGACACAGAACTGCCAGATGTTGAGGGACAAGAGGACTTAAAAATTACTGCAAGTCATGACTTAAAAACAATATCAAATTGTAATGGAGGCGCAGCAACGGCTTTTCGAACGCTATGTGCTTTCAAACGATTAGACTAGTATGTTCCAAGCACTGTATGCAACATATGTCAAACCTCATCTAGAATACTGCCTACAAGTGATGAGTTCACGCCTCAAAAAAGAGGCACATATCCTGGAAAGGGTGCAGAAGGTAGGAACCAAATTTGTTAGTGGTATTTCACACCTTTCTTATGATACCAGGATGGGGCATTTAAATTTCCCACTACCACGCAGAAGGAGGAGAGTTAATTTAATTTTGGCATACGGTATATTAGACGGTGATTTGGGGACTGACTTTTCAAATCTTTTCTCTCCCTCTAGGATACATTTATGCGGTCACTACAAGGTGCTTAGACCGAGGTCGAGTAATATATGTGTATATATCTCTTACAAAGTGGCCAACGACTAACTCATTACCTGATTAAGTAGTAACAGCTGAATCGGTGAACACTTTCAAATAGAAATTAGGTTTCTGTAGAGATATATATCTCAAGGATTAAAATAGGAAACAAGAGCTTTCTATCCATATAGTCTGAATCCGAACCATTCTAGTATAATTTCCGTAGGCAGTAGTACAGTTGCTACCCACGACAACACAAAATTTCTCAGAACATAAAAGATTCTTCTATACAAATATATTGTAGGAAGAAACGAATTCATGACCAACATGTATGACGACCGATCCGCAGACAATCAACGTAAACGTTAACAAAGGTATCAAACCCAATAAAAGCAACAGAGTCCCGAAAAATTTAACCACAACTAAAATTACGGTACTCGAGATAAATGCACCAGTTCTTAGCTAGGTTAACACTAAAGTCCTACAAAAGTAATACTAACCTACCGAACACAACTCGTAACGCCATGTGCTCTAAAGACCCGCCTCGCAAGTATGTTTAAGCCTTGGAGAAATAATGCAGGATTCAAATCTTGTGGTATAATTTCTGGAAAAGACAACAGTGTGTCAAGTGTCAGAACTATTCTATGGCGCTGTGGTAAAACTTGGGTCGTTTTCACATTTTATTCAAACCATCGCCGCGCAAACTTTGAAAAGGGAGTGAACTTTACGCGGGGTGAGGATACACGTTATCGTCATATATTTTCGCGTTATAGCGTTAACGCCTATAGAGGCATTATAATCGTTCAGTTTTGTCAAAATAGATTATATTTGACTAGTTTTAAGCTTCAGCAGCCGAAAAAAAGCAATAATTACCTGTATTATTTTCCTATTAGGGGTTAAAATTGTCGTGATATCCTAGGCGATTTATTACTTAAAAAAGTCATTCTATGTAATAAATTTCGCACAGAAGGACTATTATTTGCGTTTTAGAGCCCCAAAGCTTTGTTATTTGCGAGTTGTTTAAGAAGTTCCTAGATAAAATTGCTCAGGCGAAGATATGATATTAATTTAATTTACACTGTCACATGGAATTTCGGGAGACCGTAATTGCTCAGTGCACAACATGGCATCAGATTATTTTGATTTCAGTGTGCATTGGGGCAAGAAGAATAGTATAGATGGTCTGCAATTAATAGTGTTATATGAGCTGGTTGGTTTAGGTGCGAAGCTTTCGTCGTCCTTCGGGACAACATCTTCAGCGCAAATTTGGCATAAACTGAACTGATTTAAATTCTCTTTGAGTGATAGAATTGCGTCTCCTGGTAACCATCTTTACATATATATTGACCATTTTCTATTGAAGTGGGATGCGCTCAACAAGGCGCTCCGTAAATTTAACTTGACGAAATCGGGATATGAATGACTTCACTAGCCTTGATCTTTAAACTAAGAATTTCCCGACTGAGCAAATCCTTTTTGCTTATCTCAACAGAAATTGTTTCTCAATTCGTGATGAAAACACGAATTAATTGAATCCCTGCAAATTAACACTTGAAAAACTGTTTTGTTTGTTTCGCACATGTAACCAGTATATCTACACAATTGTATTCATCTATCCTCATTAATGTTCAGAGTTGGAGCGATTCATTTCAAATACATGATCCAGAATCTGTCTAACTCTGAATTCATCATCACAAAATTTTTGCAGCCAGGATTCATGATAGTGGAAGTATTTCAATGTGGTGATTCCCACAAAGTAACTACACATTAAAATGTGGGGAACAGTAACAACACAGAAGTGTCCAATATCTTTCATTTAGCAATTTTATGTTTAGTCATACTTCACAAAAGGTGGAATGAATATCCAAAACTGTTCGGAAAGACGAAGAAACCCTAAGCTGGGTATTTAGGGAGTCCTGTAGGAGAGCCAAGAAGTTCGTTAGGAGAATGAAAAACGGGGTGCAACAGTGAATTTTCAAGGGACAGGAGCTTGGCGGCTGCACTGTTGTGCGATTGTGTATCTCTAAATTCTCTTCAAGTCACAGACGATAAACTCACCTTTTAGAGGCCATGTCATATCTTCCCTTCACCAATTCGGGTAGTGTAAATAGCAGTCTGGCCACCAAGTTATGTGGACCAGGCCAAAGAGTCAGCAAGTAGTGTGTCCAGAGCCCAAGTCTAGTAGGGTATGTGACCACACATCAGTTTCAAGCATTACATCTAGTCGACACTAACTAGAATCCATCTGGAACCTGTCCAAGAGCCTAACCAGTTGGTTTCATGGACTGCTGCGCCTCCTGAAACTGTGCTGTTGCAGATGACACTTAAAACAGAGTTTGGGGCTTCAGAGGCTTTAGCACTCTGTGTATCTATGGCTTATAGGATGTTTTTGTCAGTTTTGGAAGAATAGAGACTATGACTGTTCATTATCAGAGTGACCTGAATGGGGGAAGAAATGAAAATATAGTCGGAAATCGCTCCACGACTGTGTTGTAGATGTAGATCAAAGCATAATATTTAATGTTTCACTGTATTACTCCTATAGCAATTATTACTTCATGTGGGACCTTCCACACATCATTTGTATATTAAAACAATCGCTCCCAGTGTAAAATCTCACATGGTACAGCTTAATTTCCTAAACCGCATATCTATTGAAGAACTTGGCTGCACTTTTGCGCCGATTTTCGAAAGCTGAAAATTAAATTCGTTTCTGTCAGGATATTTCTTTCATTCGTCGTGAAAACTGAAATCTAGTATATCCACTGTATACACTTTCATGCTATTAAAAATTATGACGCTGTCCCTGCGTTTTCTGTCAGATTCTGTTTCCCTTAGTTTCCGTTTTCGAACTGCATGTTAGCTGTTAGGAATTTGGAAATGTACAGGAGGTGTCCAGCCCCATTGTAACAAGAATCAATATCTGAATCATCAAAGCTTCGGTGAAGGGGTATCACTTACATGTATATTATTTGTGGCGTCCAGACTAAACAGCACCTACTGTTAATTGAACATTTTAATATCTTATTCCTGAAGTTATTGTTTATTATTTTGAATTTGTTAGGTAATTTTACCTTATTTAGATAGAATTAGCATAAAGTGTTTAGTGAGATACAACTTGTGAGGATCCTATTTCTTTGAATTCTTTTCCATGGTTCTTTAACTACAAATCAGCACGTTTCTGTGCCTCCAACCTTCTCAGGCACTCTGGATGGGACTACTGACATTCAATAATAATAATAATTCATACTTCACGTAAACGGGTGTTTACAAGAAATGTATGCCATTTTTGCATGCACGATCAGTGATGGTGTAAAATACAACCGGGAAGTGTCATAAATAATTAATTTTTCAAAAGTTTAAATTATTCAATTATTGTGCAGGCAATCAGAACAGGTTCTTATAAATGTTATATCGTAAACACTTCACCGGGGTCGCTATCAGAGTTGAGTGACAACCCAAACTTGATTCCGTTTCGTGCTGGAAGTTATGGTCAACCAGTGAATGGCGTATATTTGGGTAAGCTATTTCCGGAAGAGAAGAACGTCCTGGAAACAGTAGTAAGTTTCCAGTTAAACATACAAAGAAGTATTGTTACGGCAATAGGTAATTTTCGGTCCATGTGTCGCCAGGAACCAGGATAATGGAGAATTAATCCATACAAAATGACATTTGGAGCTGGAAATTATCGTCATGCGAGTCAGTGAGATTTCAAATATAACCATCAGCACGTGTTGATTATTTCTTAAATAACCAGATTTATTGGCGCCGAAAATTGTAGTTATTGGGACTTTACTATCGGTTTGAAGAATTGACTTCAAGCTTTATTTTTCCCAGATATTTGTATTGCATTCATCTGATGTCTGGGTTTTTTGTTAATGCGAAGACAATATTTCTATATCTCTTTATGTGTTACACAGACAGACTATTTAGCAGACTGTTCCGACTGACTCTAATGTCAGAAAGAACAAACAAACTGTAAATTCAACATACATCGAAACATGTGTAATTTATATAATAACTTATCCATGCCTGTACAGTTGGTATGTTCCTGCATAAACAGGAATGAATATGTACATATAATATTCCACAACTTTTATCCAGGCTGCATCGTGGAGGAAGGTAATGGGTAATTCACGAGGCAGTTGTGGGATATGGGACCAGTAATGTTTGCAGATATTTTGTCACTGTGAGTGGTCACATATCTACATGCTTTATTCTCATTCAAGAACTCGAAAAGAAGCTAAAATAATGAGAGAGAAAAAGGAAAACAAACTGCAGCCGCACTAAAGAAAACAAGTTGAGTCCTCAAGGAGCGACTTATAAATTTATATGTGTATATATTCTGTATAGAAACTTTGGTTATTTTGGTACACTAACTAACTAGTCCTGTTATGCTAACTTTTATATTATGTGTGAACTAATATCAATGTCGTGTGTAGAAATGTTTATCATGTACTTCCAATAAAGAAATGTCACACCCACTGTTTTTGAAAATTACTGAAGCAATGCCATCCGGTCACGTTCTAGTCGAAGGTCTCGGGCTTTTATCTACTTGTTCTATTAGGTAATTGGTGAACACTATGCTCCTGAGGGAGGAGGTACTAACGGGTGTCGTCTCACCAGGGGTGTGCGTTTTGAAGCTAAATTTCTCAAACCACTCACTGAAAAGTGAAGAGATGGTGGCAGACCTAATGTAGATTACTTTGTCGTGAAGTAAGTAGGGGATGTCTCTCATCGACCGCATTTGTTTTTTAAGGTGTTGTGAGGCTATAAACTTTTGAGGTACTCTTGAGTGCACTTAACTCTTCGCCGAGGTCCTTTTGAGAGCGTAGCTGCTTGACAGATTCAAGTGACTCCTGAACTGAGTGCAGTAGTAATACATCCTTAGTGAATTAGTACTGTTCCATCAACTTCCTTACTGCGGTATGCCCTTGGAATGTATTCAGCTTGTTGTCTGCTAAATTTCACTACCTTCTTAGGAGCGACAGTATCTAGACAAAGGGTAACATTCCTGTAAAATAGGGACACTACAGTCTCCAGGGAGTCAGTGGTAAAATGGTCACAGAGTCGAATGAGTTCTTGGACTAATCCTCAGTCCGTATGTTTGTAGCTAGGGTATATAATGCCCCCTGAATCTTGTTTGTTCCCTGTATTTAGTGGTGAGAAAGGCTGAGAGCAGGGTACCATTCTATGGTCACTACTGGAACATCTGTTACCAACATAGGTGGAGACTGGGATTGGGTCATAACAAGACACAAGGCCCAAAATGCTGTCACCATGGTTAGGTGCCTGGACATGTTGTTGCCATCCATAATAATCAATAGAGGCAAGTAATTCGTCGAAGCGTTAAGGGCCGTAACTACCTAACCAGCTGACGTCTGGAAGACTGAAGTCCCCTGCAATTATTTTGTGATTATTACTAAACGAGGAGGTGTGTGCAAACGATTTAGCTAATAACTCATCAGTTTCTTTGGTTGAGCATGGTGGTCGATAAACACACTATGAGAAATTTGTGCTTATCTC